ACTTTGGAGTAAGCTGTTGGGGGAAGAATCAGTTTTGTGTTGTGTGTTTCCTTGACTGATGAAGCCTTCCGGATCAAAGGCGAAACGTTTCAGCACAAAAAAAGAAACTGTCCAGATGACCTGACTGAAAAATGGTGTTGGTGGTATACCACTTCCTGCCCTGAGACGCCGAATCGTTGACCAGTATTGTCTCAAAGTCGTATGGAAGTCATTTTCCATGGGCTCGCCGAACTCCTCCTACGCCTGAGTTTTTGCCTCAGTGACCACCCAAACTGCATATTGCTTGGACTGCCGGTACCCATCAGCTGCTTCTTGGGTCCCACAGGCCAAAAAGGTCTGATAGGACTCCTTCTTCAGCCTGACAGTATCCTTAACCACAAGTGTCCACCACCGGGTTTGAGGGTTGCCACCGCGACAGGCACCGACAACCTTGCAACCACAGTTCTGATAAGCCACCTCGACAATAGAGGAACAGAACATGGCCGATTCAGACTCAATTCACCCACCTCCCCCAGAACGTGTTCAAAGTTCTCCCAAAGGTGGGAGTTAAAGCTCCATCTCATTAGAGACTCTGCCAGATGTTCCCAGCAGACCCTCACAATACGTTTGGGCCCGCCAGGTTTGACTGGCATCCTCCCCCCACGATCGGAGCCAACTCACCACCAGGTAGTAGTCAGTGGACAGCTCTGCCCCTCTCCACCCAAGTGTCCAAGACATGTGGCCGCAGATCAGATGAGACAACAACAAAGTCAATCATCAAACTCCGGCCTAGGGTGTACTGGTGCAAAGAGCACATATGGACACCCTTAAGCCCCCAGTATACTGCCTCGTACATCCATACGCCGAGGTACGCACGTATGTACGCAGAGGTACGAGCGGAACCCCCAGGGCATGTCTGTGCAAAGCTCGAATTTTTACGACCGCATACGCGTACGCAGTGTCGCACAATAAACTGCCCAGCGACGGACTGTTTTGTATGCAACACCAATGTATTAAATTCCCCTTCTTCATCTCTGATCTGGCCTTTTCTTTTGTTTTTTTGCCAAGAGGCAGCGATTTCTTCCTCCTCCGTTGACGCAATGACTGAAATGGTGAGAAATGGAGGAATTTGTCACGAGCGAATTAAACTCAGGTCCAGCATGGCTGCAGGAGAGTCTGGAGATTTCCTGGTGTGCTGGTCTGATGTGTGGGCTGTAGAGCCAGCACTCTGTTTTTTTTTTTATTTTTTAGATCTTTTTATTAACAACATATAAACACAGAACACCACTGCGGCTGAGGCTGCCAGCGCTCGCTTTTTTTTCTTTTTTCCGACCTGTCAATCAATTCAGTAGGCGTGACAGCAAATGACCAATCTGCGACCTCAATTTGTCCCGAAGGTAAACGCCCCTTGTCTGTGAAGCTGCTCTGCAGCTGCTCGGGGTGTACGCTGGAGTATCATGTCTGAACCCTCTGCATACAGTACACACGTACGTACGCGTGAACGGACGTACGCGGCAGTATACTGGAGCCTTTACTCTTGTAACTGGTCAGCCTGTAACTACACATCTTGTAATTGGTCAGTCTGTAACTGTTCAGCTGGTAACTGGTTAGTCTGTAAGTGATCAGCATGTAACTGCTCAGCCTGTAACTGGTCAGTTTGTAACTGGTCAGCCTGTAACCGGTCTGCCTGTAACTGGTTAGTCTGTAATTGTTCAGCCTCTAATTGTTCAGCCTGTAACTGGTCTGTTTGTAACTGGTCAGCATGTAACTGGTCAGCCTATAACCGGTCAACTTGTAACTGGCCAGCCAGTATCTATACATCTTATAACTAGCTGGTCAGCCTGTAACCGGTCAGCCTGTCACTGGTTAGTCTGGAACTGATCAGCCTGTAACTGGTCAGCCTGTAACCGGTCAGGCTGTAACTGGTCAGTTTGTAACTGATCAGCATGTAACTGGTCAGCCTCTAACTCGTGATCCTGTAACTGGTCAGCCTGTATTCATAAGACACAAGCCACATTGTGTTCTAGCTGCCACTTGTTTGGCGGTTGAGCAGCCATGTTGGATGTCCATGTCCTAACCGGTGGAACTTCCTGTTGCCAGCTCAGATAATCTCACTGCTGTTATACAAATTGATTTTCACACTGAGTGCCCTTTGCACTCTGAACAAAGAGGAAAGAGCTCTCAGGTACAAAACACATCAAATCTTCTGTTAGACAAATGGTTCAAACTAAAATGAGTCGGATCTGAAGGTCAGGAAGTGGACCGTGGAGCCGATTTTGGCTGAGTTACCTCTCAAACCCCTAGGTGGAGTGCTTCTAACCTACATCCTGTAGTTTTAGCTTTATAATCAGAGCTGTATTTGCACATCGATATTTCTTTATAAATAATACAGCTTAAATGTTTTATGTATCTGAGCTTTTTGTATTTCTGCCCACAGATTTTGATTCCTGCCATTCACATTCACCTCACTAGTGCCAAAAACTGCTGTGCCAACCGCTGTGGGGTGAGTGTGCACTCCCTCCAATGTTTGTTTATATGAATAAATATATA